GGGTCAAAACAGAACCCCTAAATGAATAAATTGTGCAGAGGAAATTTAAAAGGAAAATTAGGAGAGGAAAATAGGTATGAAAGGATAATATCAGGTAATAGGGATTTTCCTTAAATTATTTTTAAAAGTACATTAAGAATAAAAGGATAACTTAAGAGGTCAGTCCTTTAAGGATCACAGGGGTGATTTATGCTTGGATCCAGAAGACAGAGATAGGGTTCTAAATCAATACTGCGTGTTGGTGTTCACCAGTGACAGAGGGATAAGCTAGTAGAAACCATTGTGAAGAACCGTGAAATAATGAAAATTAGCATAGAAAGAGGGAGGTTGAGTGATTGGGTAGGCTTAAAATGAGTTAACCCTCAAAACGATGGATGAAATGTATGCTGGGTTGTTGAATAGCCGGGCCATTGGCAATTTTCAATTCCACCTTGGTCACAGAAGACATGCCAGGAGCCTGGAAGACAGCCAGCATGATATTGTTATTCAAGAAGGTAGCAAGAGATAAACCAGGAAACTACAGGCCAGTCAGACTGACTTCAGTGATGGGTAAACATTTGGAAGCAATTCTGGGAGGATAGAACTAATCTGCACTTGGAGAGACAACAATTAATAAAGAACCAATACTTTTTTTGGGGGGGTCATGCTTGCCTGATGGGATTGAATTTTGAGGAGGTGACTAAGTGTGCAGATGTGTTGATGTAGTCTACTTGGAATTCAGCAAGGCTTTTGACAAAACATAGAGCACAGATAGTGAAGTTACGAGCCATGGGATCCAAGGAAATTTAGTTAATTGGATCTAAATTTGGCTGAGTGGCAGGAGGCAGAGGGTGATGGTTGGGGGGTGCTTTTGTAATTGGAAGCCTATGCCTGGGGTTCCACAGGGATCAGTGTTGGGACCCTGGCTTTTCGTGGTATTTGTAAGTGATTTAGACTTGAATGTAGGAGTGTTGATTGGGAAGACTTCAGTAAGGCCTTTGATAACGTCCCTCATAGCAGTCTGATACAGAAGGTAAAGTCGCAAGAGGTCAGAGGTGAGCTTGCAAGATGGATTAAAAAAAAACTGGCTTGGTCATAGAAGACAAAGGGTAGCAGTGAAAGGATGCTTTGAATGTACAGGCACACAGATCACTGAAAGTGACAAGGCAGGTAGAGAAGGTAGTCAACAAGGCATACGGCATGCTTGCCTTCATCAGCCAGTGCACTGAGTTTAAAAATTGGCAGGCAATGTTGCAACTTTATAGAACCTTAGTGAGGCCGCATTTGGAATATGGTGTTCAATTCTGGTCGCCACATTACCAGAAGGATGTGGTGGCTTTGGAGGGGGTACAGAAAAGATTTACCAGGATGATGCCTGGTATGGAGGCCATTAGCTATGAGAAGAGGTTGGAGAAACTTGGGTTGTTCTCAGTGGAACGACCGAGATTGAGGGGCAACCTGATATGAAGAAGATTATGAAGGGCATGGACAGACTGGACAGTCAAACTTTCTCTCAGGGTGGAAGAGTCAGTTACTAGGGGGCATAGGTTTAAGGTGTGAGGGATACAAGACACTTCTTTTTTTAAAAAAAAAGGGTAGTGAGTGTCTGGAACTCACCGCTGGGAGAAGTAGTGGAAGCAGATATGATAGTGACTTTTAAAGGGCATTTTGACAAATATGAATAGGATGGGAATCGAGGGATATGGTCCCCAGAAGAGTAGGGGGTTTTAGTTTTGACAGGCAGCATGTCGGCACAGGCTTGCAGGGCTGAAGGGCCTGTTCCTGTGCTGTAATTTTCTTTGTATATGAAAATTAGTGAGGTTGTAAATAGTATGCTGGATAGCCTTAGATTACAGGAGGAGATAGACAAGTTGATCAGTGGCAAATGGAATTCAATCCAGATAATTGTCCTGCCCCAATGCATCAGTTATCAAACAATGCAAGGGAATACATGATGAATGTGACCCTTCGAAACACTGAGGATCATAGTGATCTTGTTGTCCATGTCCACCAATCCTTTAAATAGGTCAGCTAGATCTAGTAGTTAAACGAGGCATAATGGATATTTGCCTTTATTTGCCAAAGCATAGAGTTCAATAGTTGGGAGATTATCTTAAAACTGTAAGTAAGGCACCAGAGTCGTAAAGGGCCATAGGGCTGCCCTCTGAAACAGATGCCTGATGATGAATTACTCCCAAGAGTCACCATGCCTCAGACAAGGGGCATGGTTGAGGCAGGACTTCATGGCAACCTCAGCCAGTGCAGGAACAAAGAACAAAGAACAAAGAAAATTACAGCACAGGAACAGGCCCTTCAGCCCTCCAAGCCGGCGCTGATCCAGATCCTCTATCAAAACCTGTCGCCTATTTTCCAAGGATCTGTATCCCTCTGCTCCCTGCCCATTCGTGTATCTGTCTAGATACATCTTAGATGACGCTATCGTGCCTGCCTCTACCACATGCGCTGGCAACACGTTCCAGGCATCCACCACCCTCTGCGTAAAGAACTTTCCACGCATATCTCCCTTAAAAAGAATTTTCCCCCCTCACCTTGAAATCGTGACCCCTAGTAATCAAGTCCCCCACTCTGGGAAAAAGCTTCTTGCTATCCACTCTGTCTCTTCCTCTCATGATTTTGTAGACCTCAATCAGGTTCCCCCCTCAACCTCTGTCTTTCTAATGTAAATAATCCTAATCTACTCAACCTCTCTTCGTAGCCAGCGCCCTCCATACCCGGCAATATCCTGGTGAACCTCCTCTGCACCCTCTCCAAAGCATCCTTTTGGTAATGTGGCGAGCAGAACTGTACGCAGTATTCCAAATGTGGTCGAACCAAAGTCCTATACAACTGTAACATGACCTGCCAACTCGTGTACTCAATAACCTGTCCGATGAATGAAAGCATGCCGTATGCCTTCTTGACCACTCTATCCACCTGTGTTGCCACCTTCAGGGTACAATGGACCTGAACACCCAGATCTCTGTGCATCAATTTTCTCTAGGGCTTTTCCATTTACTGCACAGTTCGCTCTTGAATTGAATCTTCCAAAATGCATTTGCCTGGATTGAACTCCATCTGCCATTTTTCCGCCCAACTCTCCAATCTATCTATATTCTGCTGCATTCTCCTACAGTCCCCTTCACTATCTGCTACTCCACCAATCTTAGTGTCATCTGCAAACTTGCTAATCAGACCATCTATACCCTCCTCCAGATCATTTACATATATCACAAACAACAGTGGTCCCAACACAGATCCCTGTAGAACACAACTGGTCACAGTTCTCCATTTTGAGAAACTCCCTTCCACTACAACTGTCTCCTCTTGCTCAGCCAGTTCTCTATCCATCTAGCTAGTACACCCCGGACCCCATGCGACTTCACTTTCTCCATCAGCCTACCATGGGAAACCTTATCAAACACCTTACCTGAAGTCCATGTATATGACATCTACAGCCCTTCCCTCATCTATCAACTTTGTCACTTCCTCAAAGAACAGGAATTGAACGTGCTGCTGGTGTCACTCTGCATTACAAACCAGCCAACAAATCAACTGAACAAATCAACCCCCAACTTGAACTGTATAAAACATTGGTTCAGCCACAGCTGGAGTGTTGCTGTTCACAAATCCATGTTTTAGGAGAGATGTAACTGCATTGGAGAAGGTGGTGAGGAGATTTACCAGGATGTTACCTGGGTTGGTGAGTTTCAGTTATGAAGCCAGATTGCATAGACTAGGGTGGTTGCCCTTAGAACAGAAGGGACTGAGGGGAGACATGATTAGCACATAAAATTGAGGGGCAGAGAGTCAGTAGACAAAAAGGAACTTTGTTCTTTTGGTAAAGGAATCAATGACCAGGGGGCATAGATTTAAAGGTAAGAGGCAGGCGGTTTAAAGTGGATGAGAGCGAAATATTTTTCACCGGGAGGATGGTGGGAATCTGAAACTCATTGCCTTAAGGGTGGCAGAAGCAGAAATCCTAAATATTTTACGAAAACTTAGATGTGCACTCATGATGCCCAGGTTACAGCCAAGTGCTGGAAGATGGGATTTGAATAGTTAGGCTTTTTTTGACAGGCTAAAAAAAAGTGTTCATTTTCAGTGCTCTAGACCTTTGACTAAATCAACATTTAAGTATTCACACACTTTGAAAAATTAATTTTAATATTATGAGCAAAGTAAATCATCTCACTTCTGCATGTTATATTTTTCCACCTTTTCGCCAACTCACAGCCTAAGACTCCTTGTGGCCTACATCCCCTCAGTTTACATTCTAACCTGCTTCAAATCGTCAGCAAACTTGATTTACAGGAGGTCTTTTCCTTTAAGACATTAATGTAGATTAGTTTTCTTTTGAAAGGCGGCCCAGGATCTTACAAATAGCTTTTGTAAATTCTAGCATACTGCTTCTGCTATTCCCCTTGATCTTCTTTAAAAGTTGCATACCCAAAAAAACAGACAGACAATGACTCAAATGCATTGTTGGAACTTCCTTAATAAGGCCAGCTTCTAGAAGTCTGGAAGACAATGTACAAAATAAAACAGCAGGTGGCCCTTCTGAACCTTTTACACAGTGGATCAATGACTAAAAGACAGCTCTCAAAACTCATTATGATGATATAACCTTGACTATTGTAACAATGCATTTTCAGATCCAAACTGTAGATTCTGTAGCCTCTTTTACAATGAGTATAGAAAACATTACTGATGACACCTCAAAATGCATACAAATGTTTGTGTTTAAGTCATTAGAGTTTGGATAATCTAGTCACTGGCATTTCAGAGAAAATGCACATTAAAAGAAAAGTTCCACAGGAAGCAGCAAAACATCACCCAATCACAGGCAGGAAGAAGAAATGCACAGGGACATCTTTCTACATTAAATACACTGTTATAAATGCAAGCTGTGCTGACTGATTATAAATGACCTGTATCAAATTGGTTTTGTGTTTGTTAATGCTGCTCTTACAATGTTGGAAATAGAACTGAGTGTAAAAATGCAGCTTTGATCGAACACTTTTACTGCATAAATTTTTTTATTGGCACCCTTCAAAAATTCCAGGACATACTGTATATGGTTCTTTTGAGGCAAACTTACTCTTACTAGTGCTCAGCCAAACATTCATTGAATGCAGGAATTGCATGGGTATAAATATTTCAGTGATACAGGTACAAATGCAGAACCAAATGCAATAAATGTACAGGTATTCAATAACTGTAGCATAACATGGTTCAAGTCCATTAAAACTAACAATGCAGAGTATATATCCGCATGTCATCTTAGCTTGGAGGCTACTTTAATAAAAAAAAGTACAATTAATTCAAATTTCCTACTGAACAGAAAGCAGAAAACTAAATTAGGTTTATGAAAGCTCAGAAAGCACGTTGTTCCTTTGCACCAAAAACAAATTATTAATATATTGTATCCTTAAGATGTTATCAGCTGCCTACAGAATCACAAGTCTAAGCTCCAGAAATTGCCTAGATACGCCTCAACATTAATACTACTGCAGCCCAGATTGAAAATGCAATGTGGTTATCTGCATCCAAACAATTTCATTTACATCTCCTCCCATCACATAAAAGCAATTTTCTAAACTAAAACGTATGCTTTTAAGCCTTTTATTTTAGCCTATTTGTTGCCATTTACTTTAGTATTTTAAGAACAAAAACAAAACTGGACCTCCAAGTTTTATGCTCAAACAGTATTTGTTCAAGACAACATTCATCAGTTCTGAACCCAAGCTATGCTAATAATGAATATTCACATAGGTATGTTTAGTTCTTTAAATATTTGTTCCATTGACTTGGGCATTCAATTCATTTCTGCACCTCTTGGTACTTAATCCAAATACAAACAGATAATGTCAGAATAAAACAATAATCAGTGATGATTGTTAATTGTTGTGACTTAATGTGGTGCCATTTTATTACTGGTGATGTTCAGTGACTCAGACCACGACTGAAGTGGTTACAACTCACACGTACACAGATTCAGGTTACTTTAGTAGAATACCTACTGCAGTTAAATGCTGCCATAAAAATCTCCCAATGAATGTATAAGACTAACACTCATGAGAAATGCTTTACACACTGTCCACGTCCTCAATATTGCACGTTACCTTGTTAACTACACATCTGATGCTCATTTTTTTAAAAATAGAATACAGAATTCTTAGATAGCCCCAAACTTAAAACCATCAAGCACCACATAATGCAGCATACATAACCCTTTCAAACAAAGTTGAATATGTACTCCCAGTCAACAAATTTAAAAAAAAAAATCAAATCACAGTGTATTGTATCACTATGTCATTCAGTGATAAGATCAATAAAGAATATGGTGCATAAACTGGCCAATAAACTACCAAATAAACGTCTATTCTCATCCAACCTGAGTGAAATATTGATCACTGAAATACAAGGATAATTTTGTCATTGTTACTTGGGTAGAGCTACCAAGTCAGAAACTGCATTACAAAGTAGTTGGTGAATGAGTTTGTTTGAAAGTCACTGAAAAACTCAAATGATGGGTCAGTGAGTTTCCTCAAAAATGTAACTAGCATTTAGACCAAGGAAGCCACAAGTAGTTCTGGCTAAACTGGCCTCAGTCAAGCCAACAGTTAGGAAATGGGTTTCATGCCTTCAGCAGAATGTGTGAAACAGCTTCTAATTATAATTTAAGTAGTTACCAGAGGGGCAGATATGTAGGCAGCGAGTGGAAAAAAGGATTGAACTATGCGGTAACGAGCCCTACTTCAACAGCTCGCTGATGATTATGAACAGTAACCAACTACAGGAGACAAGATAAGGGCAGATGATGTTCATGGAACATGAACGGGATAGAGAAACAGAAAAGTGGCAATAAAGTGATTGCTAGCAGAAATGGACATGAACAGATACATGCTGCCTTAAACTTTCATTTAAAATCAACCACTGCAGTAAAATCTTTTAGGTGGTAGTAAATGAGTGCTATCATTGATCAAACTCTTCCTGTATCAAACTAAGTTGCAAGAAAAATAAAACCATTCCTACCATGAACACCAGAAAACAGACAGGTTTCCAGGATGACACTGTCTGTGCCACTTATCCTAATTTAATTTCCTTAAGCCAAGTTAGCAAGGCTTAATTTCAAAGCTATTGATAAATACGATGAGAGCCACACTGGCATATTTATATTGCCATCCTTTCATCAACATGGTCACTGCTTTTTGTTTTAACTGAGCTTCACAACTAACAAAAGACATGAAGTTTTAGAAGGCCCAGGAGCCTAAATATTATTGCCATTTCACAATGCAACTTACAATAATGGAACCAAAATTAATTCACTGCTTTGGTGGCATGACCTGCTATTTAAATAGAGAAAGTGTCATTCTGTAGCTCAGGAATGACCAATTTAAACAGGAAAAATTGGATTATAGCAATGCAATATCCTGCATTTAACTAATTTCTAAATCTTTGTATTTTACCCTGGATTTTAAATTTTAAAGACTGTCAAATGGGAAACTCAATCATTTGAGGGATAGGAAAAGATGCTGCAGGATGCTGCTTGCAAATCAAACTACTTACAATATATTTTGCATTAATTATAGGGTCAATTTCAATTATATTCACTTTGTTTTGATGTCCAATTTTGTTAATTCAAAACTTTTGCACAGATTTGATGCTTCAACAGCCAATTTCAAATGCAACATCCTGGAACTAAGGACATACTTTGTCAAGTCCCTTCTTCAGTACTGATGTTTGCAAAATGATGTAGATAGTAGTTTCAAAAACGTTCAAAAAAAGTGAAACAATACATCACCTTTCTCTTTCCACTGTAGTATAGCAGCAGGTTTAGATACTGTAATAATACTTCCCTAACACACACAAATCACTTCCTTCCTCTCAGCTACATACTATACTACATTTCTCCCACGTTTCCCTTTAAAAGCAACACATGCCTGTAAATAGCAATACCATCTACATGCACCATTACTCTATATGGTCGAGTAAGTCTTTCCTCAGATCTGGAATATTTGTCTTGATTATTAACTGATAATTCGGCTCACAGACTGGAGAGTAGGAAACTCATCATCCTCAAAATGTGAAGTCTTGTGGGTGGCAAAGTCTTTCTGAGTCAGCACCTGTTGGCATGTGGGACACACCTGGCAGTCAAAGTCCAAGTTCATGGTTGTTTGCCATGCATTTTTCTTGTTCTTTTTTGACTTGTTTGGACCTTGCTTGTCTCTCAAGTCCTTATGAGCGGAAAGAAGCTCCTGCTGTTTGGTTGTATCCGGCAGCAAAACCAGCAGTTCGTTGAATATTTTCAAGAAATTTTCTCCCAGAAGTTCTCTGCAACTCCTATAATAGTCTGCAGCAGAAATTTGACCCTGTGAATGCAAGAGAGTGATGTAAAAATGGAAGTAAACCATAGTTCACCAGATATTGAATAATTTAAGAACAATCTACAGACCATTGATCAGAGCAGAGAAGTCGTCTTAGGAATCAAATAACTATCAAACTGACTGATTGGAGCAAGCAACTGTTTTAGTGCAGAGTCAAAGGAGTTAAAAAGGACAACACAAAAGCCAAAACATTTCTACTAGGTTCCTATCATAAAAGGTAGTAATTGTATTGGTGCAACAGTGCCTCTGAAATAGTACTCTAGGGAGTGTTACTTTTGATTTGCTTGCATTTCAGTTGATTATTGGAAAATTTCTGTGCTATTCACGACCCAAAATTAGAAAACTCATCCATTGCTCAATCTGAACATCCGTAATGTGCAAAAAAAAAGGAAAAGACACATTTAAAAGATACTGAGGTAGCTTGGACATAAAACAAATTACACCCGACAGCTATAAAAATGAAAACTGGTCATTTGTTATAACTTCAGTTAATTCCTAGTATTTGACTCAAAACATGTTAGTCTATTTTTATGAAACAATAAAAATCCAGTCAGCAAAAAAAAATTCTATGCTGCCACACCTTTCATGAATAGGAAGAATCTGGAAAAGAATACCCTCCTCCATCATCATTATTTCACCTTTGCTAATGCATCTTACCTGTCTGAAATGTCCAGACTGCGTCTTGAATTTGTTGAATTTTGTTTCATCATTGTGCAAAATTGTATTTATTGATTGAATTAGTTCAACATTCCTCTGCTTAAAGTTCTCAGGAAGGAGGTAAATGTTTGAAGATCTACATTGAAACAAATTAAGAACTACTTTGGTGAAAACAGATCAAACAGAAGAGTCATTTCTAGTTTCATCTTTCCAGTGCTGTGCTTCCCCGTGATCACACCCAAAACATTAGATATCAGTTTAGCACTATAGTATGCTATTACCAACACATGGGTGAAGGCCACACAAGCAAGTCACAAACATTAATGCAAATCATTTTCTACTTTAATTCCTTCTACCACTAGAATGAGCCCTTGAATTGGAATTACAATTTAAATCAGATTACAAGCTCCAATGGAAAAAACATCACAAAATTTTATCAAATAGATGTGGAAGAACTAGGAGTTACATCTTGTATTTAGTACAAGAATACATACAAAACATTTTATAATACAATGAACTGTGGGTCCACTTGCATAGCTTGTGCTAACACTGTACCACTAAGTAGCTCTGAAGCACCCTAGAAATAGCGCAACACCAGTAAATTCTACACTCAATAAGCAACCAGTCTCAGATCTTCAAAATCTCTACGTTACGAAATGACAGATCTGAATCACCAGTAAAATCTTACTACAAATGAGAGAATAAACAGACACCTGCAAAACAAGTTTGGACTTGAATTCAGGATTTTGGATGCCAGTAGCTGAAGCATTTCTCCTGAAATGATATTCAGGATCAATGTGTAGACAAGTTATTCAACAGTGAAAAGCATCACAGCTAATTCCAATTCTACTCTTATAAAGCCTCTCATTTCCAGACAGATAAAAAGAGCTAGGAGTGTTAACATGGCAGCAAACAGAAATGAGATATAAATATCCTCCATCAGATCTGCTCACACTCCAACAGAAACAAGAGATTAAATCAGGGATATCTGTAATAGCTCAGTCCGATATTGAGCAATGAATTTACGACCTGAACCAGTAACACAAAACTAAGAAAATAGGAACTGGAGTTGGCCATTCTACCCCTTGAGCCTGCTCCACCATTCAACAGGATCACGGCTGATCCGACACACTATACATCCACTTTGCTGCATTTTTCCATAACCCTCGATTCTCCTGATCAAGAATCCATTTAGCTCAACCTTAAATACACACAAGGACTCTGCCCCACATAACTTTCTGGGAGAAAAAAATTCTTCATGTCTTAAATTGGCACCACTTAATTTGAGACTGTCCTCAGGCTCAATACTATCCCATGAGAAAAAACATCCTCTCAGCAATTACTCTGTCAAGCCCCTTAAGAATCTAATATGTTTCAATGAGATCACCTCTCATTTCTCTAAACTCTAATGAGTAGAGTCCCAACCTATTTAGCCTTTGCTAATAAGACCACCCCTCCATTCCAGGGATCATCCTAGTGAATTTTCTCTGAACTGCCTGCAGTGATATTTTTTCCTAAATAAGGGGACTAAAATTGCTGAGTACTCCAGATGTGGTTGCACCTTCTACAGTTGCTGTAAGGCTTCTCCACTCATACTCCAACCCTCTTGAAATAAGAGCCAACATCCCATTCATCTTCCTGATTCCTTGCTGCACCTGTGCGCTAGCTTTGTGTTTAATGCTCAAGTACACCACATGTTCCATTGTGTTGCAGATTTTCTGCAGTTTTCCTCCATTTAAATGATACTGTACTTCTGTTCTCTTATCTCTATGAACTGTGCATTCCTCTCACAACCTGCCTTTCCATCTATTTTTGTGTCATCTGCAACTAAACCTACATTACATTTACTTCCTTCCTCCAGTTCATTCATATATATTGTAAACAACTGTGGTCCCAGCACTGATCCCTGTGAAACTCCACTGGTCACAGGTTACCAACTGAAAAAGAATCCCTTACCCCAGTTGCTGTTTTCTGCCCATTAGCTAATTCTCTATCCATGCTAACATAGTACCTCCAACACCATGAACTGGTGACTTAACCTTTTGAGAAGTATTTTAGTGAATGCCTTTTGGAAGTCCAAATACAACATTAACTGGTTGAAGCTTCCTCAAAAGAACTCTAATAAATTAGTCAAACAAGATTTCCTTTTATGAAACCACGTTGACTCTGTGTGCTTGGATTTTGATTTTCCAAAATGTTCTATTACAGCAAACTTTGTTTTAACCGACACCTCATCAACCAGCACATTTGATAAACCTGCAAAAATCATATACAATAAACTTCTGGTATTTGAGGTATTATCATGATCTTCTTAATGGGAGAAGAGTCAGTTCAGAATAAGAGTGAGAAGCTCTCTGCTAGTATGTTTTATTTAAGGCAACGTTTACATTATTATTTAAGTGATTTATATTATAAAAAGTGTAACAGTTGTATATATACCCCCAAAATATTAGATTACTTAATATGTTTTTACACTGATTGATTATGTAGACCTCTTGGTCAACCAGTACATTCCTGGTCCCATGGGTGCCAGTTAATAAAATGTTTGCTACACTTCCTTAACAATTGATTTCAATACTTTACCAACAACAGGTGTTAGGCTAATTGGCATCTAAGTACCCACATTATGCCTCACTCTTTTTGAGCATCACAGGGCATATTCAGGTGTCACATTGGCAATTTTCCTCTGGTACTTCTCTTCAGGATCTGAAATATTTTAGAAATTTATAACCACTGTATCCACAATCATTGCAGCTACTGCTTTTAGGATCCTAGGATGCAAGCCCATCAGAGCCAGGGGATTTATTTGCTTTGGCCTCATTAGTTGGTCTGATACTACTTTTCTAGTAATGGTAATTGAATCCTTCTCTGTATTCTTTAGAATTAGTAGAATGTTCGAAGTACCTCCCACCATGGGTGGGTTGGGGAGGCTGTCTGGGTTTTCAATTGAGGGAAACACACAAGCCCTCGCAGTTAAAAAACAATTCCAGTGGGCCCATTAGATTTCCATTTATAGTACTCCAGATTTGCAACTTATTTTTAAAACATGGCTTTGACCAAAGTCTCTCTCAATACTGATGAGTGGACATCATACATGAAATACAGCTGGGCAAATCTTGTGTCATGGCAATGCACCTGGCTTCCATTCAATATCTTTCATCACGCAAACAACAGTGGAGATCAGGAATGCACCAACTGCTTCCGAAGTCCAAATGCAGGCTGTGCCCTAATTTGCAGTAAACCAGGCCCCAAGATGTCATCATCAACAACTTATATAGTGTCTTTCACATAATGAAACACTTCACAAGAACACTGCTAAAGAACATTACTTAAGGATTGCATGGTGGTTTGCACCAGGACCCTGAGTTTGATTCTAGCCTTGGGTGACTGCCTGTGTGGAATTTGCACAGTCGCCTCATGTCTGCGTGGGTTTCCTCCCACATTGCAAAGATGTGCAGTTTAGGTAGATTGGCCATAGTAAATGCAGGGATACGGAGATAGGTTGGGGTTGGGATGCTCCTTGGGCAGGTGGGTGTCGGTACAGACTGTATGAGCAAAATGGCCTCTTTCTACACTCCAGGGGATTCTATGAAGAGTTTCTATTCCATAAACAAAGTATGGAGACTAAAACACAGAAGGTATTAGACCAGGTGGTCAAAAGCTTGGTCAAATATGGTAAGTGGTAGTTCCTTAGGGTATACAGTAGATGTCAGGACCCTTAGGAGCATTGATATACCAAGAGATCTTGGGCTGCAAGTCCATAGCTCCCTGAAAATGGCAATACAAGTGCATATGGTGATAAAGGCAGCATGCTTGCCTTCAATTGGTTGAGGTACCGAGTATATAATTTGACAAGTCACGCTGCAGCTATATAAAACTTTAGATGGGTTATATTTGGAGCATTGTGTGAAGTTCTGGTTGCCACATTATAGGAAGGATGTGGAAGCTGGAGAGAGTGAAAAAGAGGTTGACCAGGATGTTGCCTGGATTGGAGTGTACTAGCTATAAAAGGAGAGATTGGACAGACTTGGATGTTTTTGCTAGACCGTCAGAGGCTGAGGGGGGTGACCTGGTAGACGCGTACAAATTATGACAGACATGGATAGGGTGGACAGTTACAGTCTCTTTCCCAGGATAGAAATATCAAATACTAGGAGGCATAGTTTTAAAGTGAGAGGGAAGTTTAAGGTGTACAAGGCAAGTTCTTTTTACAGAAAGGGTGGCAGGTGCCTGGACCACTCTGCCAGGGAGGTGGTAGAAACAGACACAATAGAAGTGTTTAAGAAGCATTTAGACAGACAGACAGGTAGAGAATAGAAGGACATTGACCAGGACCAGGCAGATGGGATTACTTTAAAATGACATCATGGTCAGACATGGTGTGCTGAAGGGCACATTCTTGTGCTTTAATGTTTTGCATTTTGATAGCGAGGGAGGGGCACCGGAAGTTGTGGGAGAGTATTCCAGAGCATAATGCCAAAGAAATAGAGGCAGCCATCAAAAATTGACTAATTCAAAATCAGCTTTTTCGAGAGAAGCACATACATGTGAAGGGTTGGCAGCCATGACAGGTATCGAAAACAAGGAGCTGGGGCTTAAAGGGATTTGCAAACAAGGTTACAAATTTTAATATCATCAAGGCGCTGCTTGACAATGAGCCAAGGTGACTACAGGGGTGATGAGAGAATGGGACTTAGTACAAGTTCAGCCACAGTTTTAGATAACTTCAAATTTATGGATGGAGAGCAGATGAGCTGAAATAATCTGAACGATGGCATGAATTTGGTTAAATGTTCACAGGGTCAAATGTTATACCAAAATTACAAATAGAGGATTGTTCCCTGACTGATCCTAGGGAGGGGGGGGGGGGGGGGGGGAATCAGGGAATGAAGTTTAGTGGGATTAAAAAAAAGTCTTCAATCTCCCCTGTGTTTAATATAGAAAATTTCTGCTCATCCAGTATGGGATCAGATTCATTGCAACTCCTGATACTTAAAGGAAAGGTTGCATGTGCGCAAACGGTCCCTATTTCAGCAGTTTTCCAATCAGTACAATTATTACCACAATGTTGCAACAAATTCCAATTCTTGCATAGCCTGGCGCACCTGTTTTACAGCTCACGGGACTCCTGATCCA